CTTCAGTCGTCATCGGCTTTGATGGCGATGGAGCAAGGCATCTGTGTACCCTGTGTGAACGTTTGTCTTAGGTTTGAATTAGCACTGCATTCATCTGCTTATGTCGTCATGTTTTGAAATTACTAGCATGATCCGCTCAGTAAGTGTATTAACTGGCCTCAACCACAAGGATGTGAGCGGGCCGGGACTGGTTGCCAGCCTCACTGCTTTACTGCAGTCAAATGACAAGTTTCTCACGTATCGTGAAGGCGGCTTTTGATGGTTTACGGCCCTGACCGAGTGAACGCGTGCTCAACTTTTTTGCTTGGGGGCGTTTGCCCCAGGTTTTAATTGACTTTACCCTTATCCGCTTATTTACCTGGCATTAAAGGAAGGCGGGTTATCCAACCAAGCATAGGAAGGTTATCCTCGAAAGGGAATTGCCATGGTATTCATCCACGTTTGTTCTCTGCTCAATCGCAAAGTAATGACATATCCGGAGGCGGGTTTCCTTCTCCATGCTCCCTGGCTTACGGGCTGACGAGATGCAACAACGACCGTTCTAGGCCCATCGGTGTTGTACGGGCAGTCCGAAAATGTGAAAAAAATTACGATGACAAAACTGACGGCCAGCCGTTTGAAACCGTGGCCATATCTCGGTAACCAGCCGTAGCGACCAGAAATTGGCACGCATCGGTAGGGAATTGAATGGGGAATCGCGTGGTGCCAGATTCTCTGGCGCGCGTGCCGCGTGTCATGTGCACAGAATCGTCCAAGATGGAGTTTTCTGGTTTTTACAGTTTTTCATGTTTTCCACCATAAATCGGTCGACAGAGTGGGCAGAGGCGCAAATACAATTTCAAAGGACGTACGTAAGGGACGACCAAAGTACCACCCGCAATGAATTTGTTCAACACGAGTTTGTGCGACGCATGGTTGCGCCAGTAATCGTTGGTCAAGCCAGGAACGTCGGTATCGCGAGGAACGGGGCCGTATGCAACACTTCCGAAACTGGAGCCAGAGTCGTGGCGAAATAAACATCACCGCATGCACCGATTTACTGCCTGGTCTTACCACCCATTTCTTCGTCATTCTGTGTATTGTCCCGGCTAAACGTTCATATTACCGAAAGGGTCGCAATTTCACAGTCTTGCGTCGTAAAAATGTCACCGGTCAATCGTTCAGTCCCCACCGGTGAACATTTCAAGTAAAACGACGAACCTGCACGTGCCGTGTATTGCCGGCGTCCGGCAAGCACCATTAATATGAAGTGCATTTATTCGTTGTGGCGAAAAAGGTGGTCCACAGCGACGATCAATTGTATCGCCTAAACGCCTTGCGTTAGGGGGTGCTGGCGAAACCACACGTGTAGAGCGAGACAAATTGCAAAGGATGTAGCGAAACGACCCATGAAGAGCAGCTTTTGTGAGAGCGAAATCCACTGCTAGAGGAAAACGGCACTTCCAGTGTCTTGCGGAGTATGGGTTTGGAAGTCACTGTAGAGTGTGATAACACAGAAATATTAGCAGTATTGACAAGTGGTAGCGGCGAAATAAGGGAGCTCGGTATTTGCAGTGTTACAAGTATGGTTTTCTTGAAAGCTGTAAGTGCGTAGCGACACTAATCACCGTGAAAATCTGGACATCAACATGTGACAGCTGGAAAGCCTCTGATTTCGTCTTCGTAAGCAGATTGTGGCCTTATTTCATCCGAGTGCCACAAATGATGCTTCCGGGTCATTCCTTACACTGGTTTGGCGTGTCTCATCAGCTTCGTCGCGTGAGTACATAGCGGAAAATCGTTAAGCGTTGTGGCAGTGTTTGTCTTGGGTTCGAATTCACGCTAGTCCCATGGGCTTACGAACGCTTCTTGAAGCAGATAAAATGGAGCTCTTACAACAAAAACGTCCCAGCGCACACACGTGTATCAAGAGGGCGGGGAAGGAGGGGGGGGGGGGGGGGGAGGGGGGGGAGATGCGGGCGGTCACCGGTCGATTTCCGTCTAAAGTTGTAAGTGATTTACCTCGTGTTGCTGCATGAAAAGCTGGCTTACAGATGAGGTGTATTTCCCATGACCCTTGTACGTCCCTGATAGTCAGCGCACTACGCGGTTCCTGTCGAGCATCCCACCTACCAGAGATCGGATCGGCCAGGAGGCCCGATGAATGAGTCGAATGCATCCCCAGATGATGCAAACATGTGTCGTCCATAGAACACAGCAGGTTTTCGCAATCGTTTTCCAGGGGTCATCTCCGTCGCTTAGCGAAGAAAACTCACATGCACTTGAGTTCATTTTTGGCGAAATTAATCCGCTGCAGTATTTCTCCACAAGGATTCATCATGAGCTGAGTTAAATACCGATATCTGTCTACTTAATAGTTCTGGTATCCATTGAATTCCCCCAGACGTTTGCATCATCCCGAAATGATGCAAACATGTGTCGTCCATGGAACGCAGCAGGTCTTCGCGATCGTTTTCCATGAGTCATCTCCGTCGCTTAGCGAAGAAAACTCACATACAAATGCCGCTCATTTGTGGCGAAATTTATCCGCTGCAGTATTTCTCCACAAGGATTCGTCATGAGCTGAGTTAAATACCAGTATCTGTCTACTTCATAGTTATGTGTATCCATTCAATTCCCCAAGACGTAAGTACTGTGCCTGGCTTATCATTTGTGAGCTGCAAGGGCTACCTTTTTATTTGTGCCCGACTTTATAACTAGGTTCGTGGCACACCTTATCAAAGAATGTCCTATTGTTTGTTTGTTCGTGTAGAATGCATCAATTGGATGTCCTGCTGCCATCATGTAGGAACACAAGGAAACGTTGCCATTCAACCCTTTTGAATCATGCCTTTGTTTTGCAGAACGTCACCAGGTGACAATGGGACCACGACGGAGGCTGGCCCGCCACCTGAAATGCGACGACCCCGCTCCCTGCCCAACTCTCGCCGCTGGGAAAACGGCCCGTGGGGAGACGCAGAAGGGAGAGAAGCCGATGTGCGTCCCGCTGTCTACGCCGTCAGGAAAATCCTCTGATGCGGCTCAAAGGACGGCTCCGTTCGATGTCTCCCCCTCGCCACTATCGGCGAAGCTTGACCGGAGTGCCGCCGGCGAGCCGGTGCCCCCCGCGGTCGCCTCGGCCGAGCCGGTGCGCAGGGCGCGCCGACGCCCCGCCAGCGAGCTCTCCCCAGTAACAGCGGCGGCGCCGGCCGGCACGACAGCAAACACGCGCCACCGCAAAACCAGGACGGCGTCGCGGTCTCCCTCTGTCTCGCCAGCTGCCGTGGCAGGCAAAACGGAACTCAAACGAGGAGGGAGACCGGCGCGTTCTCGTTCGCCTTCTCCAGCGGCGTCTGCGAGAAGGGCGTGCGATCCTAACAGGGTAAACGCATTACACCCCTCCGCCTCCCCCGCCGTCTCTGCAAGCAAGACTCGGGAGCGACCAACCAGAAAGGTGTCGCATTCTCCCATTGTCTCACCTGCTGTCTCCGCCGGTCAAACGCGTGGACGCGCTGACAAAAAGGCGTCACATTCTCCCCCTGTCGCGTCCGCTGCGTCTGTGAGTAAAGCGCGTGGACGACCAACCAGAAAGGGTCCGTGTTCTCCATCTACTTCGCCCTCTGCCTCTTCCAGTAAAACACGTGAACGACCAGCCCGAAAGGTACCACGTCCTCCCTCAAGTCCTCCCGCTCCCTCAGCCAGCAAAAAGCGTGGCCGATCAGCCACACAGCCACCAGAGGCTGGCTCCGACGTGCTGTCGCCCGCCCCATCCAACACGCGGCCACATCTGCCGGACGAGTCCGTGGTGACTTCGACCCCGCCTGTGTCCGCGAGAACGGCCGCTCGGCCCGGCAGGAAGGGCCAGGCTGCACAGTGTGCTTCGACGGTGACCGGGCCCATCCCGTCCGACCCTCCGGAGGGCACCAGCGCGACCGAGCGACGGAAGCGAACAGGCGGGACGAAGGCGGAGGAGCACACCACTCAGAGAAAAAAGCGACGGCTGAAAGGAGGGCTCGGTCGAACTGCGCAGGCCAAAGAAGATGCGTAAGTAGCGACGGATGTGATCTGCGGATTGCATTCATCCCTTCTGTGCGAATTTACTCTTAATGCCCGGATAGGGTGACCTCGAGCTCGAGCGCTAGCGAAGTGCAGAGCTTGCCGCTTGCTACTTGGAACACTTCGCCTAATTATTTCCAATACAGTTGAACGGATGATGTCACCCGCGGTATTTTTACCGGACAGGGTCGCGGCAAGACAGGCCGCTTGTATTGCAGTGATTGGACACGGTCGCTTCGTGGCATGCTGAGGCTTGCTGATGGCCTTTTGCGGTGGTCCGCTAAATCGCTGGCGGGATGTTGAGATTAAGATGTAGGTTTTTCATGGGCTGATTATCTCACGCTATCAGCGTATTGTTTCGGGATATATGGAGACGAAGTACCGCGCCACTGTCCACTGACTGATCCCACCATCTCACTCCTGCACAGCGTCATCGATCAGGTGCATCCATTACGTCATTTTCCTGCCATGACATGCCTCCATCTAATGCCAGAGATCCGCTCATTGACGGTGTTTTGGCCTGTTTCAGCTTCATCCAGCGGGCTATCGCCCTGATCCAGTCGCAGGAGCTGAGCAACAGGACGGGCAGGCGCGGCCGGTCCCGCCGCTGGGCCCGCAGTCGTACCGCCTCGCCGGAGCCGGTCCCGCCAGAGCCGGCCCTCCCGGCCGGACGAGGCTGCGCGGCGACGCCCGCGCCCGCCGGGGACTCCGTGCGGTCGCCCCCGTCGCCTGCTGGCGACTCCGTGCGGTCGCCCCCGTCGCCCGCCGCCGGCGCCGCCCACGGCAGCGATGACCCGCCAGCGACCAAGCCGCCGCCGCCGGCGGCCGCGCGCCTGGCCAGCCGGCCGCACAAGGCCGCCAGCGCCCTGGACGAGGAGTACACGCCGTCGGGCGGGCGGCGGCGCGCGACCGGCGCCGGCCCGCGCGCCCCGGCCAGCCGCCGCACCAGCGCCGCCACCGTCGACGAGCCCCTCGAGGCGCGGAAGACGGCGCCGGCCGCCGTTGGCTCCACCAGCAAGATCCGCAGCTCGGCTATGTGAGTGGGACTCTCCGGGTGCCGTCGACACTCCCGTGGGCGCCATCAGAGATTTGCGACGCACTCGGCCGCTGAGGCTATGTGGCGCCACAGGCACCGCGCACAGCTCGCGGCGTGCGTCCGTCTGGCACCGCGATATCAGCTGGCATGGGCGTTTATCGTTTAGTGGAGAATGTTAACTGTCATTGCGTAACGTCTTACGTCCGGCCGTTTGCGCTGTTTGATTTTTTTCTGTTAAGTTCTTGTCCGAACTATTGAATGGATGAATTCTTGGGTTCAGAGCTGACGCTAGGCAGTGCTTGTTTTGATCCCTGGGCGCTGCCATCCGGTCGGGGAATTCCAGATCAACGGCAGAATTTGGTGACGAAAGTTTAACGTGCCGCAATGCTCGGCACGGTCCGTCCTGCCCTCTGACGTCACCTGACCTTTATTCAGCACGAAAGCAACCTTCGACCGCAGACTATGTCTGTCGACAGAAATAGCGAGCGCCTAAAGCGATCCGAACCCACTCCCACCACGGGTGGTTGGATCGGGGGGCAGGGGCTTCAACCAACTGAGCTACAGGGACGGAGAGTGCTAGTCTTCCTACGTGGTCCTGGGTTACTAACGCTAGACATCGCAGTAGCATATAGAACAACTTAGCTCAACTTAACTCAACTTAGCTCGGCGACCATGCATGCAGACATTGGCCTTTCAGTTTGTTCGGTTCGCTGCTCTGTATGGCGTTACAAGCAACGTGCAACTGGCGAAATGTCAGATTATGCGTCAACATTTTTCAAAACGCGCGTGCACAGAATGAATGGGGCACAGAAAACTGCTCAAACGTATTCTGTTTGGATTCCACACTCATATCTTTGTGTCGCTCTCAGGAAATCGCCGTGGTCTGCTATGCCATACGGAGGGCCACTTAATGTACCTTATCGTCATATAACACTTCCATAGCTAGCTTAATGTTTGGGGGCCGGAATCGGCGTGATCACGTGATGCATAGGGCTAACGGACGCTAGATGACTTTCATGAAATCGGATCATTTTTTGTGAGTACTCTGGCAGAAACAAACATTACGAATGTGAGCAACACATTCTCTTTGACATTCTTCTCTGGATGCGGCTCAAAATAAAACACTTAAAAACTTGTCCATTGTGAATCGGCGAACGGTGAACACGAGGGTGAAGCCCTCAGTCATGTCCGCGGTCGTACCTCCTGATCTCGAACTCTAAATCATTCTTGCACCTGCACAATCAAGGAGAACGAGACGTCCGCACCGTGTGGAAGCCCATCACACTGATGGGGCCCATCGGTCTGGCGCCACCTGCGCAGCACCGTGCTTGCCTGTCGCTGACCGCTCTCATCCCGGTGCTGCAGCGTGCTACAGACGGACGAGGAGCTGTGCGTGGGGATGTACAAGGTGCTGGAGGCGGTGAAGGCGCACGAGGAGGCCTGGCCCTTCCTCGACCCCGTGGAGGAGGAGTACGCGCCCAACTACTACGCCGTCATTCGGCGGCCCATGGACCTCAACAAGCTGGAGAGCCGGCTGGACGCGGGCGTCTATGTCAGCCGGCAGCAGTTCGAGGCAGACTTCAAGCTCATCGTCGACAACTGCAAGCTGTACAACGGCCTGGAGAATGGTGAGGTTGCAGGGTGTTATCGACCTTGGCTCAGTTGGATCGCCCGCCGAACTGTGATGAATGGGGTGTGATAGATTTGTTGGTTTGTTGCTGGGATGGAGAATCCCTGATGTCATTTGCTGCTGAAGACTTACCAGCCTGTAGCACTGTCACTTTGTACTGCCTGGTGCGTTCGTCAGCAGTCCATGTCGTCTCTCTTCCAGAGTACACTGGGATGGTGGTGAACATTGAGGGTGCCTTCCACAAGGCGGTGCGCAAGTACCTGGACACGGAAGAGGACGAGGAGGAGATCTTCATTGACGTGTCGCAAGTGCCGGTGGTGGCGCGCCGCGCCACACCGCGGCCAGCCGTCGGCGGCACCACCAAGCGTCGTGGTCGCCGGTCTGGCCCGGAGGCAACGGCCGGGCACGGTCGCAAGAAGGTGGCGCCCTTTATCGACTACAGTGACGACGAGCTGCTGGCTTCGCCGGCTGCCAAGCCGCCGACGCGCGAGGACACGGAACGGCTGTTTGATGATCTACTGCGTACGGCGTCCTCGGAGCTGACCGCTGCCGTCACCAACACCACCACCACCAGCAGCACCAGCAGCAGCATCACCAGCTCCACCACTAGCACGGTCGTCACCAGTACCAGCACCATCACCGCCGCCGGCGCCACCACTCCTCTCCCCCCTACGGCGCCGGCCGCGCGCGGACGCCGCCGGCAGTTGCAACGACAGCCGCCCCGCCAGCGTCCCCAGCCGCCGCCCCCGCCACCGCAGCCGCCGCCGCCGCCGCCACCGCCACCACCGCCGCCGCCGGCGTTGTCAGCGGACGTCGCGTCCGAGGCCGACGCGTACACGTTCCGGGAGGAGCCGGACGAGCTGGCAGTGCGGCGGCCGGTGCACCAACCCAACACCCCGCCGGCGCTCCAGTTCTCCGACGAGGACGACGACAGCGACGCCGGCTCGCCCAAGAAGGCCATAGCGCAGGGCCGTATCTTCGCGGCTAAGATGCGCCGGCGGAAGCTGGCGGCGGAGGCGGCGGCAGGCGCGGAGGCCGGGCGGCCGACCTCCGACGCCGACGCGGCGCCGGAGAGCAGTGACTCGAAGGCTGGGCCGACCGAGCGGCGTGAGCGCAGGAGCAGGCGCCAGAAGCGGTCCCGAGTGAACAAGGAGAAGAGGAACAGCAAAAAGAAAAAGCGGAAAAGACGCGAGCGCGAGAAACGCGAACAAGAGCGTCTGGACGATGCGTCGGCCGATGTTTCCAACATAAGGGCGGTAAGTGCGGGCAGCTGGAAATACCGCCCCCTCTCCACTTTTTTCGCATCGCGAGTGTTCGAATGCTGGAATGGTCAGTGGGTCTCAAATGGCGGTGTGTGACGGCCGCTTGTGATCGGAAGGAATCTATGATGTTGTTTGTCTAGGGAGTGTTTTGGAGGCTTCCGCTTTACAATAGGTGGTGACGCCAATCATGAGTTGTACTGGTCATATTTCATGCTTTGACGGAATTGCTATCGTATTTAACTACTTACTGCTATCTTTGTAGTTTGCTAACATGTTCTGAAAGTCTTACGACGAAGTCCAGTTAAACACAACTCATGCCATATTATATGGCGGTTTGGCCATCTCGTTTTTTGTTGTTTTTTTGTGGGGAGGATATTTTGTATGCCATCGCGCAGTGATGACGCGATGCGGATAGACCAGTTTCTAGCCTGGCTGAATCTTGTAAAGGTCGTTTCTACCACGCCTCACTTTTCCTGGCAGATTGACCGAACCAGATTGCTCGGAATGGGTTTCGTCGCAGTTGTAGATCAAGTACCGCCCCGTTTTTAAACTCCATTATATCTGGTGTGGAGTCGACAGCGAACATCTGTCGCGTCTGTCTTCCGGTGTCCAGCTCGTCTAAGTTGGAAGTGTGTGGATGTCCCCAGCTGACATTTGATTGTTCGCAGTAATGTTTGTGTGGCATTCCGCTGTACAAGTGCGTGATGACAATGACCGTTTACCTCAGGAGGCGGTCCAGCGTCAGGAGAAACCGTGCCCTCTCGGCGTGTCAGAGGCGGCCGCCGCCGGCGGACCGCCTGCCCCGGGCTCGGACAGCGAGGACAGCGGTTCGTGGCCGGACCTGGCCCCCGAGCCGACCGCCCAGAAGGTGGGGCCGCCGCGCGAGCCGGCCCGCTCGGCGCTCGAGCCGCGCGTCGGCCGACCGCGGCCGCTCTTCAGCAGCCGGTGCATCTCCAAGGAGGAGAGCGCCAAGCTGGGCGAGCTGATTTCGCGCGTGCGTGAGTCGCGCGGGAGCGGCACCACGCTGTTGGCCAACAGGTCCGGCCTGACCATGGGCAAGGTGCTGGGCGGTGGCGGCAGCGAGCGCACGGGCGAGGAGGCTTGGGAGGAGATGGTGGTTCGTCGGCTGAAGGCCGAGCCGCCGGTGGCCGGGTGCCGCGCTGAGGAGGCTGACGAGCCGCTCCGGCTGATAGCCGAGCCGACCGAGGGCCGAGAGCTGCCCGTGCTCCGCAAAACGGCCACGCCTAACCTGAGCGCCTGGTTCCATGCGTTCAGCTCGCAGAAGGCGGCGGAGCCAGCGCCGCCGCCGGCTCAGCTGCGCCGCGCCAAGTGGCCTCCGCCGCGCGAAGAGCCTCGCTCGTCGCGGCCGTCGCAGGTGGAGGCGAAGCAGCTGGATGAGGTGGCTGCGAAGAGAGCGCCAGTCCCTGCTCCAGCGCAGCCGCCGCCGCCGCCGGCCGGTCCGGTATCTCCGGCGCGGCCGCGCTGGAAACGAGCACCGTCGTCACCGACGCACGCGCTGCAGCCCGAGGTAGACCCCTACGAGTATGACGACGAAGAGCTGGAGAAGGCGCGGCTGCAGGTTAAGGCGCGCGAGGCGCAGCGACTGGAGTCGTCCGACGGCCGCTCGCCGTTTTATCTGACGAGCTCTGAGAGCGAGAAGTCGCCGATGACGCCCGGCGGCGGCATCGTCTCGCCGGCCGACGCCGTGCAGCGCTCGCCAGCGTTCTCGCCCCAGCAGCCACCTGGCGGTGCCGACGCCAGCAGGCCGGCCTGCGACACCAAGCCCGGCTTCTATCAGGATGTGACGGCCAAGACGGCCAGCCCGGACAAGTCGCCGCGCGGCCGGCCCGGCTCGGTGGCCAGCGTGCCGTCGCCGGCCTCGCTCAAGGGCAGTCCGGCGCGCGCGCCCGTGAGCCCGCTGGTCTGCCCGCCTGCAGCCGCCCGGCCGTCCGAGCCGCTGGTGTCGCCGCCTGGCCGGGCGGACTCGGCGCTGCCCAGCCCGGGCCGCGCAGTCCCGGCTGTGGCCAGCCCGAGCCGCTTGTCGGCGTCTCTGGCCGGCCCGACGCCCGCCGCCTCCAGTTCGGGACCGGCCGGGGTGGGAACCGGCGCTGAGCCGCCATCGACAGCTGCCGATCAGGCCAGCGCCGCACGGACGGTGCTGCGCGCGCCCGTCGACGCGGCGTCGGCGCCCGAGTCTGGCTCGGCTCGGCCGGACCACGCCGTGTCCGGCCCGTCGTTCCGGACACTGCCCGCGGCCGTCGCAGACACAGCGGCAGCCAGCCTGGCGCCGGGTGCTGATCCGTCCGCCGAAGCTCGGCTCAGTGACGACAGAGCCGGCTGCACGCCGAAGAAAACGTGCACAGACGGGGCCAGCGCCACCCCCCGCCCCAGCAGGTGGCTAGCGAGCCGGCGCCGCAGGCGGTGGCACAATCAGCCCCGCAGGCGGTGGCACAATCGGCGCCGCAGGCGGTGGCGCAATCAGCCCCGCAGGCGGTGGCCCAGCCGGTCCCGCAGGCGGTGGCACAGTCGGCCCCGCAGGCGGTGGCGCAGCCTGCGACGGCCGGTTCTCTGCTGGGTAACCTAGCGCACCTGTCGCAGCTGGTGACCCGCCTGCCGACGCAACAAGCCCGTGGAAAGACCCCGACCAACGGCGATCAGCAACAGCAACAGTCGGCCCAGCAGCTGCTGCAGCAGCAGAAGATTCGGCAGCTCGAGCAACAGGTCAAATTGATCGAGCAGAAACAGAAGATCAAGTTAGCTGTAGAGCAGCAGCAGAACGAGAAGGAGCAGCAGCAGCAACAGCAGCAGCGGCAACAGCAACATCAGCAGCAACAGCAGCAGCAACAGCAACAACAACAGCAGCAACAGCAGCACCAGCAGCAGCAGCAGCAGCAGCGGCAGCATCAGCAGCAGCAGCAAATGATGATGATGCAGCAACAACAGTTACAGCAGCAGCAAATGCAGCAACATCAGCAGCAGCAACAAGAACGGCAACAGCAACAGCAACATCAGATGCAGCAGCAGTTGCAGCAGCAGATGCAACAGCATCAACAGCAACAACAGCAGCAACAACAACAGCAACAGCAGCAACAACAGCAGCAGCAACAAGAACGACAGCAGCAACAGCAGCAACAACTGAGTGTTGAACAATCAGAAATGCAAGATTCCATATCCACGTCTATGCCTTCCAGTTCACAGATGCCTTGGGGCGCCAACTCAGTGTCGTACTACAAGCAGATGGCTAGTCCGCACATGCAGCTCTATCACCAGCACCAGCAATCCATGAAAGCATTCCAACAGCAGCAGCAGCAGCAGGCTGCGCCGCAGGAGCAGCAGCAGCACCAGCACCAGCAGCAGCCGCAGGGCGTGGTCAACAGGCAGGACGGCCCGCCGGCCACCAGCGCCGCGGCCGGCGGTGGGCTCCACCTGAGCGGTCTTATGGCCGGCGCTGGCTATGGCGCGCTCGGGCTGGCCTCCGGCTTACAGCCGCACGCACTGGGCGGCGCCGGCTACCCGTATCTGCTGGGTCAGGCGCGCTCGCCGCAGCCCGCGCACCAGAACCTGCCAGCGGCCGGCGGCAGGCCGGCGCGCGGCGGCGGCTCGCCGGTCGCTCAGCCGCAGCTGCTGACGCCGCCGTTCGGCGCACGCGCGCACCCGCTGGCTTCGGACGCCGTCTACCAGCAGTACTACCGGCAACAGGGTGAACTGCTGCTGCACCACCAGGCCGGCGCCGCCATGATGGGTCTGATGGGCGCCGCCGCCGGCGGCTACCCGCCCGGCTACCCGCAGCTCTCGTCGCTGCGCCAGCCGTTCCAGCCGCCGGGGGTAACGCGCTCGCCTTTCTTTTAGCCGGGCCGTGCCCGCTAGCAGCAGCTGTGATACCGCGCCGCCTCCGCGATGTTTTACCAGTCGTTCCCATGATGTTCGTGGTTGTTCCGCAGTGGCGTGTTGGGTTTGATATTGTTTTGCCGCGCGACCCTGTGGACGTGTCCGGGCGAGGGGGACGCGAGAGTCTTCCCGTTGGCGGACTGACGGCGTGATTGTCATGGCAGAGATTAATCTGTGGGGTCGGGCAGAACTCAGCAGACTAGACTGGACGTGTATTGCCATTTTTCGTCGGGTGTTTTAAGACGGCGTCTGTACAAAGGCTGGATTTTATTCTGCTTTCTTTAGGGAGCTGGCGCCGCGCCTCGGCTCGTTTACAAATGAACATGCTTCATTAGTGTACACCAACTGATCGTACATCTTCTTCGAGGGTATCACAAGCCGCAAGCAGAGACCCACTCATTCTTCGTGCTCACCGCTTCCTTTGCGCATCATATATCGGTCTCGGTGCGTTTGCTAGATGCTCTTGTTTATTCGTGAATACCGATTGGACGTTGTTGCAGGCCGTCTCGTGTACATCGGCGATGTATTAGTGCTGGACAGGATGCTTGCTTTTTTACGCCCTTGTGATGTGTTGAGTAACGGATAACACGTTCTAAGTGGTGGATGTGAGCTCGTATGTTTTAGACGATTTAGGAGGGTTGTGCGGACGGGTGGTTCAGCCGTTTGACCAGGAAGGGTACCGATACTGCGCTGGTTCCCGTTCTGGCCGGCGGTGAGACGCACAAGCGAGACCGATCGGGGTGTGCCGGTGGAGTTCGGCACCTTTTCAACTACCGTAATAGCCGAGGAAAACTTTGCGTCCACAACGGGCAGCAGAAAGATCGACTTCAGAAAAGTCGACAGGTGTGAGTTTAAATTTCGACCAGACTATTCCCAGCCAGAGCCCTTATCTGCAGACGTCTTGTCGTCTGCTTTTAAACGCCGCTTATGGATGCATTCCAGAAACGACTGGGGCGCCGTGCCGCTCCCAATTCCCATGATGGACCGAGGCATGTCGGACTGTGATTCGTGCACGACGTGCCTTTAGGAATTTTGACCGCGGTGGTACTCTGTCTAATCTGACTGCCCTCCGCAAAGTGACAGCGAAGTCAAGACGCACCACCCTCCTAGGGGAATAGGTTAAGAAAATGGATGGCTTTTCCCCGCCATCGCAACGGTGGTCACAAATTTCACGCATTTCCGGCCATTTTCCTGCCAGCCTGCTGCCATTGTCATGCGTGCGTGGGCAAGATGTGCGGCCGACGACGTGGCCAATGCAGTCGGTCGGGCACTAGAAGAGCGCTGCCGGATGCGGAATGAGAGCATACGGTTTCACGTCCCAGCTCGTGCTGAGACAATCCGTGTAAATTTTTCCACGTGCATTCTGCCATTCACTATGTGTGAACTCCAAGCGGCCATTTCTTCTTTGCGGATCGTAGCGGAGGCTGGGGCGCAGCCAGACACTTGGCAAGGACGCATAGTTGACAAAGGGCCCCCCCACAAAAATATCGCCGGAGGCGGCCCATTTGCTATCGATGCGTGTTTTTCTTACATGCTATATATATATATATATATATATATATATATATATATATATATATATATATATATATATGTCCATCCCATGTATTCACTCTATAACTAAAATAGGCCAGACGTTACCGCGACATTAGTTCTGCCGTAAGTCTAAATCCACTTTTACTGAGCCGGTCCGGAAATTGTGCCCCAGATTAGTCTACCATGCGCCATCCACAGCCAACGGTCATTGCTATGTATAACAAAAACAGATTCTCCGTCTTGCGATTCTCCCTCGCTACGGAAAAGTATCTGGGATAATTTTCCATGGCGGCGACGCCGAACGCCACTCCGGAAAATTTCCCAACATTCCGGATAATTCTCCGAGATTACCTAACGGCCGAACGCGCCCCATACCTTGGCAGCCTAGACATTGGAAAAACTAAAACTTTTTTTGACTGGCAATGTATCTATTTTTTGTATTATTTTATTTTTGCATTATTATATTATGACCGCATTATATTTTACTGTAAGGACTGGCCGTAGGTCACCATAAGGGCAACCTCCGTCCACAGGGCTGTGACTTCGAATGTGACTTGCGATGTGACTTGATGTGTGACAAATGTGACTTTAGCAACGATGCGAGGCTCCGGCGTCTGTCAGGGACCCACAACTTCTAACAGTGTCTTCTGTCAAAAAGGGGCGCCGAGCGTTGGTACAGGCCCGCTGACAACGAAAAGAAACCTGCTAACTTCTGACGAGAGTTCACCTTGATGATATGGAAGAGCCATGTGTATGTCTGGGGCTCCGGACCGACCGGTGGGCCCTTCGACCCAGCGCTAACCACGGGCCCGTCAGGTCGGGCTGGGGTCTACGCGGTAATTACTGGACCACCTGCGGCGATCGGGGATCTTCTTGCCTCAATGAGAGTTCTTGTGTCGATCCGGGGCGCAACTACGCAGGTCAGAAGACCTCCAGCGTCTGGGAGGGGACCAATGTGATATATATATATATCCTAAGGGCCTAAGGATCGGCCAGGGGATCACACCCAGGGTCGCCAGAATGGATAACAACCCGCGGATGGACGAAATGACTCTTCAACACTTGACCGGGAATAATATTGTGCTCTAGTGTTCTTATCAAGGGAGTCCGTTGCACGGAAAAAGCACGGTGTCTAATTAAAGGTAAAAACCTCCCCTTTTCCAGTTCTAACACCATATTTAATCTGTCCATCGACAGCGAGGCCAATCAAACAAGAAGCATCGGGAGCGGAGGGAACCATCCTCGACAAACAGACGCAATCCAACGTCAATATGACTAGCGATGACTAGCACGTCAAAATCGACACCTTTTGTTGGGGGGGGGGGGGTCCACATTTCTATGGGCTTTTGAACCGAAACAGCCATCTTGAGGATCATTCAGGCTGTTTACAGCCCGTCTTTCTCAACACCTAAACCCTTCTCGTTTCTGAACTACGCACCCGCGCAAGTGTGCAGACTATTTCAAGTTCAACAAGGTACCCATGACGCCACAACAATCCCATTCAAGTACTGCCATTCCATTGGCCATGCGGTGACCAAATGCAATAAAAAAACTCGAGTTGTTCATATCTGGCGTTCATGAGCACGATTCACTGGATATAACGGCCGTCCATTGACTTTCAATCAACGTTGCGCAAGGCACCATGACGCAATCACACGATGATTTAAGGGGCATATTCCCTGAGCAGAGATTATGTTGGCTAAAATATACTTTTGCATTTAAACGTAAACCAATAGTAAGCGGGCTAATTTAGATAAATTATGTTGACTAGAACACCCTTTTCCGTTTAACAGCATGCCAATAGTGAGTTCATTTTATCACATCTGATGCCTACTTCAATTTCTTTAAATGTGGAACTTTCCCTTCAAAAGAGATCTGCGCCCGTCTAAACCACATAATTTTCAGCCGATGAGCTTGCCAAAAGTGATCCCATACGTTCAGTTTTTCAATGTGTTCGTACACTTATTCTGGACCTGTTGGAACTCGGACATGAAGCAAGACCCAGCTGACAGCTTTTGGACAACAGAATTGCATCAGCCTTCCCCATTTTCACATTTATATATTATAGTTATCAACCCTCTATCGACAAACTATCGATAGTCAACAGATTATTGATCATGCTACGCATTCATGCTTGGGAGTTTCAAGATGCAACAGGGCTCGGATACCTGAGAACGCAGCGCACGTCAGCCTGTATGACCTCACATGGGTCACTGCAGCACTAGCAATCTCGTTCTGAACACGCCGCCGACCCCGCGCTGTCCTGACCCGCCGCCGGTGCCGACGCCGCGCGGCGGCGCGCGTACTCGGCACAGTCCACCGTGCCCGCCTTCTGGCCGCTGCTGGCGCCCAGCTTCGGCAGAATGATGGCCACGAACCCCTCGCCGCCGCTGTGGGTCGTCAGCAGCTGCGGCTGGCTGCGCAGCTTCTCGTTCAGCTGGATCAGCTTGCCGCGCGCGCAGGCCGGGATCACGTACTGGGCGCCGTCCGCGCACGTGACGCGGAACAGCGGCGCCTCGGCAGTCACCACCTGGGCGCCGCGCTTGCCCTTGCCCTGCACGCGATTCTCCAGCCGGTTCGTGTGCTCAGTCACCTGGAACATCACGCGATGGCATGACGTCACAGCACGCACCCTGCAAAACTAAATTCCACATAGAAAGAAGACTACATACGAAGACAATAAAGGTAAACTTTTCTACTTTGGCGACCACGACATCCAAAACATATTGTCAAGAGACTTCTTCTCTGCTCATATCTAATGCTTATTCCGCTCCAGCCGCCTATATCTCTTACGCCGTAGTTCTACAGGTCAGCCAGACACCAACAGTGCCGAAAAGTCGGCTTCGTGTCCGTCTGGGCCTGAGGATCCATTTCCCTACAGACCATGCTGGAGGCCGCGATGACGTTGGTGGGGCTCCTGAGTCAATGAGTAGCCCTTGTCATCCGGATGCCCAGAGTGCCTGATATGGGGTCCTGTGTTGACATGGGCCCCGAGTCGGTCAGTGGTGGTGTTCGAGGGGGCCCGAACGTGGCCTGATGGGCCCTTCGGGACCGACGATCAAGGGCCTCATTGGAAGGATGAGGGGCCCCGAGGGCTGGCTGTAGACCACATTAGAAATCCCAGTCTGGAGGGCCGTGACATCAAATGTCAGTCAGACGGCCTCTTGCACCGACTGAGGACACCCTGGGACAATACGGGCCTCTATTTCGAAGAGACTATCGGCACCAAATAGTAGGCTTCGTGTCGGCCTGAGCCCTGGGAGCCCATTTCCCCCGGCAGGAACAAGGCCGGGGCCCGCGATTTGCACTGCGCGGGGTTCCTTAAACAATGAGGGGCCCCTCGTCGGTCACGGGCTCACAGAGACCAACAACGGACCCTGAGTGTAAGTGGCCCCGAGCCGGCTGTAGGTCGCGTTAAGGATACC